GGCCCCTTGTTTATTGGGTATAGAGTTCTAGTTTTCGGATGTTGAGTTCTGGGAATGGTGGTAGTGGTAGAAGCACATGAATATATTTTATACCACTGAATTGTGTATTTGAATTGTTATAAGTTAGTTCTTTGTCAGTTATTACTGTTGTTCCTGAGGCGAGTTTTACTTAACCTGTCACCCACTGAACTGTTGTCATTTTGAGGCAATGGGGTCATCGGAGGAAGCAGGCTTGGTGTCCTGATCTGAAGGTGTAGGGCAGTCTGCTGCAGATGGGGGATATTGGGCCCCTGGAAGATGGAGAGACTGAGAGCTGCTATGTCAGTGCACTTGCCTGGCATGCGCTGGCTGCAGGGTCAGAGGGGTCAGCCCACAGGCTGTCAGTCACTGCTTGGTGGGACGATGACCTCAAAATAGAGAGCTCTCTGAATTAGCTTATTGCTTACCAAAAGTTTTCCTGAGTACCTACTATGAGCCAGGCACAGGGATTTAGTGGTAAAGAAGACAGCCCAAGTCCTACTAATTTAGTAGAGACACAATGCATTTTGATACTGAAGAAGCTGTATACTTTCAGTTTTGACAGATTGTTTTTTCTTGTTCATATGATTATTGACAAATGTGTTTACATTCTACCCTTCTAATGTTTGCCTGAGAACTTTTTCCTTAATTGCTCACAGGATGCAGAAAAAAATTTATAGGAGATATATATATATAACATATATATATATAAAACCTATAATTAATATATATATTATATATTAGTAGTGTATTTGACTCGTTGTCTAGAGTTTGGGATATTTTAAAGACATGTAAGTTAACCAATTTATGAAGTCAGGTTTATTCATTTCTTTGGCCTCCCCTCTGTCTTAGCATGTTATTTGGGATCTGGCTTTAAAGGTGTGATTTAGGGGACAAATAAACACGAGGGTTACTGATAAGCATGTAAAGTCCGAAGCAGTTGGTTGCAAATTTTTCTCTCACTTTTTTCCTAAAATGGGTTCTATATAATTGACCCCAGCCTAATCAGAGAGAAAAGAGGCCAAGGAATAATGATGGGTCAGCTGTGGCTTGGTCTATATATCAGGAACCTTGGGGCAGAGGCTATTAAAATGGCATTGTGTTACAGATGCCTCTGGGAAGGCATTTAATATCTGTTAGGTGTAAATTGTTATTTACACTTGGTTGGGGTCATCATGTGGGGGCGTGCTGTGAAGAGCTTTTGTGCTGACAGGTTTTTATTATTGCAGGAAATGCTGTCCCTTTAATGTTGCTTTTCACTTGGGTGTCAGGCAGCCTGGGAAAGTAGGAACATACCTGCCTTCGGTCAGGGACTCTTGGATCTGGTTTACAGCATGACTGAGAGATGTGGGTGGCAGGTAGGGAAGTTGAGTCACATCCACATAAAATTGTGGAGAGCAAGATCTAAAGTTGAATTGTTGCTTTTTTAAAATCAGTGAGTATTATGTTGCCTAGAATCTTAACAATTTTAATCAACTTGAAAATAAAGTTTTCTCATTCTCTTTTTTGGGTACTTCTCTCAGTTTCAAACTTATAAGACACTGAAGTAAATTTGTAAATGTGAAGATATTTCTGTTTTGGGAGAAAAGAATGCTTTTATATTAATTTGTTAATCACATAGATAATCTTCATTCTTAGGTACCCTGGTATGGCTAAGTATAATAAATGACTGGAAATAGAAATTAAGGCATTAGTCAATGTTGATGTTTATTCTTCTAGCATGTATTTTGACACTGGGTTAGGGGCTGGTGATATGCTATGAAACACAGAAATCTTATCCTCATATTGTTCACAATCTGGCCATAGTTATATAGAAACAGTAACCCCAACAATTATAAATGATGACTTAGGTGCAAGAACACAGGGATTGGGGTATCAGGTCCAGATGTGGGAGTAGACAGGGCCAGCACAGGCTTTCTGGAGCAGGATCCCTGAAGTGAGCCCTGAAGGACAAGTAAGCTGGACTGAAGGCCATATTAAGAGAGTAAGAACAGAACAGGACAGAAACAGTGTTGCTGAGGAATTGACTTCAAGTCCTTTAACATTAGGGGCAGATAATAGAAAGGTGGGTGGCGAGGGGAAGCAGAGACTCTGGAGAGGTATGTTTGACACAGATGTGTGTGAGGCACCCACTTCAGAGTTAGGATCCAAGGGTGAGGGGAGGTAGCGTGATGAGACTGCATTTGGAAAGATCATTCTGACAGCAGTGAGCAGCTTGTGGGGGAAGTGGGAGGCCGGAGGCTGAGAGACTGATAGGAAACTAGATGCTCAAGGTCCAAACTGAGTGTGTGGTGATGGATGGAGAGGCAAGGCAGAGGGTGGCGCAGCCAGGCCTGGACTCAGTAGGTGTGGTGCGGGGGTTGAATGAGAAGTTTCAGGACCCTGACTATCCATTGTTTCTTGGTATGAGCCTAGGTCTCCTGTGCTAGCTTGCTCGCTTAGTCTCATCCTATCTTACTTCTCTTGTCTCAAAAAAGAACATTAAAATATCTCATTCACATGAGGGTGGAAAGTGCTGTTGAATAACTTACCACAGGGTAAGTTCTCAAGAAATGGTAGCTGTTTTACTGGTTACGAAATTTAAGCACTTTTTCAAGAAAACAGGCCTGGCAGAATAAGCACTAGAATCCAGTCTTCCCAGATAGAGGAAGTTTTATCTCCTTTGTCCATTTCTGTTTTTCCTCAGTGCCCTGGTAGATAATCATTGTTAAATGAATTAAGGAGCTTTCAAGAACTTAGTCTTGGACCTCAGAGAAATCTGTAGTGTATCTGAATGGAGTTGACCAACTATTTGGTAGTTGCATATTTTAATCTGCAGTTCAGGAGAGGTACTAGGACCGGACATCCTAGTGCAAGAGGCCATCAGAATCAATTTGGGGTGATAGCAGTGATAGTTCAAGTGAAGAGGTGGGTCACATTACCTAGAGCAAGTGTGTTCAGCATTTTCAGTTTTTTGAGGTTTATACCCTTTAATGCATCTGAGTACTGTGACTTCTCTACAGAAATGCAGGTAAGAAGACATTTTCCCTTGGGTGCCTGTATGAGAAAGTGTGCACCTTGAGTGAAAAGCCCTGGAGGCACTTGAGCGATGCTCACACTTAGAGAATAGGCAGAAGAAGAGCAGGATGGGGAAGCCATGCCTTGGGCTTCTGACAGGGAGAGTTTCTTACTAAAGGGAGGAGAGCAGGGCCATTGAGAAGTCAAAGAAGACATGGAATGTCCATTGACCTTGACTGCCAGAAGGCTACCAGAATTCAGTGAGCTCAATTTCAACCTTGTAGACTGGGAGAAAGAAGCTGGCATTCTGGGGATTACATGAAGCTGAAGAAACAAGGAAGAAACTGAGTCAATTAGGAGCAGTTCCATCATTTGTTTACTTAACAAATATTTCTGGAGTATTTTCCACATACTAGGCTCAGTGCCTTAAGTCAGGATGGATCCAGATGTGATTCTGGTTTCCTCTCTTGCTGACACTCTTTTGTCTTTTTGCCCTTCCACCTCCCCACTCTCCACCCTTCCTATCCCCAGTAAATGCCCAAGTGAGCTTCTACTAGGTATACTGCCCGGCATTTCTGGCTGCTAGTAGAGAACTCTGGGTTTTTTGTTTTTGTTTTTTGTTTTTTGCTGGAACAGAACCAGGCGAGACTGTTTAAGTGCTCTTCTCTCAGGCACCAAGAGAGCCAGCTTACTTCACACCACCAGCTTTTGAAGTCAGGGACACAATTTGCAACATCATGGTATTGGTCCAGTGCTTGCTATGATCCTGTTACTCAGTGAATTTATTAAAGTCATTCTAATATTTAGTTTTATTTTTAGCTCATATTCTTTCTTGTGGTAATAGATTTTTTGGAGCCTGTTACTAATTTGCAGATTAAAATATTGGTCCTTAATGTAGAAAGAGGCATACATGCCAGACCTAGGTCTAAGAACTATTCTAGTCCTGGACTTTCTGCAAGCGGGGCTCCTTAATTTACCTTTTTTATTTAAAAAAGTCAAGTCTCTTCTTGGGAGCCAGTAGTCTGTCATGTGGAGGAGGTTGCACGCAGGCTTCAAGATATCTTTCCTATGACAGCCTGTGTGGCAGGAGTCAGTCTTGGTACCCCACTTTTCTTTTTGTCCGTAGTACTATTATGGACTAGTGGGTTCTGAAGATGGTCTACAACAATTCTCAGGCTTATTTCTTCTGTTAAAACTGAAAACATATTTACCCCATAAATATGATTGAGATTTTTTCCCTGAAAGCACATGGGGATATCCTTGCTTCCACTGAAACTCATCACTTCCTTGCTGCTTATTCTGTTTAAAAACTTTGTAGTGTACTTCATTTTCTAATTGGCTTTTCAGTTGCAAATTCAGGGAGCCTTGGCTGTTCTATCTTCCAGATCCTTTCACCTTATGCTGTTTTTTTCTAATGCTTAAAGTCCCCATTCTTTAAACTTAGTTCTTTACATGTTGTGGGCTATATCAAGAGAATACAGATACTTGTGAAATGCCCCAGACAGCAGCTGGCCTGTCGTAGTCTACATGCCTTGTCTGGCCCCTTCTCCTGAACCTTCTAGTCAGTGCCACGTTCCTGGCTTTCATTAATTCCACTACATCTATGAAGTGTGTGTCTGAAAGGAAATGTTTTGTTTTAAAATCATTTTGGTTTAATTTCTTATTTGTTATCATACATTCATGGATAGAATATTTTAAATAGTATTAACTATGATAAGCTCACATGAATGCTTCCACTGCTATATAATTCATGCCACCACCCAGACATTCCCTCCTTAAAATATGCCTACGCATGGCGCCTGCCCTGCCTTGCCTCTCCCCCTCCCCGCCTCCCTCTCTTTTCCCTCTTCTCTCTTTCCCTCTGTTACACACACACACACACACACACATACACACACACACCACACACACACGCGTGCGCAAAGCACACACCATACTGCCTTTCTCCGCAGCCCTGTTTCTGGAATCGGGAGCTGTCAGCCTGCTGGGAGGGGTGGAGGGAGGAGGAAGAGGTGGGGCTGTGCTCTGATTAATTACCTTAGGCATTCAGGGGTGGGGCTTCCTTCAGCCATCTGCCTGAGATATGGGAGGGAGCTGGAGAAAGAAGGAGGGGGAGAGACTGCCAGAGAGGAAGAGAAAAGAAAGGAAGAAACACTAGAAAGAAAAAGGAAGGAAAACCGGAATAAAGGGAGATCAATTACCAAACCTTTAAATAGCTAGATTGGGGGGGGGAGGGGGGTGGAAAAAGAGCTGTGGAGGTGTGCCTCAGCACGCCTGCTTTGAAGGCTTCATCACCTTGTTTTATGGAGAAAAAGAAAATGGTAACTCAGGTAAGATTTGCGTTTCCTCCGTGTGTTTTCTTTTCTGCTTCGGGAATTGAAATAAAGATTTGGGGGTCGGGCATAACAAGGAGAGTTTTTCTTACTATTGTCTCCTTAAACAAGTCCAGGTTTATTGTTATGAACTGAAAAGTGTTGTGAGTATGTGTGCATGCTCTGTGTCTGTGTGTGTGTGTGTGTGTGTGTGTGGCGCGCGCGTGCGCGCTCACGCTGTGTATCCCTATCCCTTTCTCTCCCTCGCGTCAGCTCCATAGCCGATTTCTGTTTCCTGTACTGTGCAGCTGTAGCTCAGGAAAGACCCTGTGGGGATTTGTCTACCTCTTTGTCTTGGTTCTGAGAAGAGGGAGGGAGAGAGAGACTGCAGAGGTAGGAAGAGATTCTTACAGACTGCCAAAGGAGGGGAGAGGGCTTGACTTTGTTGTAGGAACTGCAGAAGAATTTGTGTTATAAGGAAATCCAATTCCCGACTCACTTCGGTTTCTTAGGATTGGCTATGAAATTGCAGTTTCGCTGCCGTTGCTCTGTGACTTATTAAAAATGAAGGCTAGGAAAATAGGTTTCATGTTCATGGCTTTGTTGCTGGTAAAGAATTACTCCTCCTTTTCAGGAGCAAACCTCCATGCCCCCAGGTGCAGCTGAGGCAGGTGGTGCCAGCCCCAGCAGAACAGATCTGAATGGCTAATGAGCGAATAAATGACAGCACACAGACATTAAAAGGCGTTTGAAGGAGAGGGTTTCCGAAATGGGAGAGTAAATTCTCTCTCTCTCTCCCCCCCCCTCCCCTCTCTTCCTCCCCCCTCCCCCTTACCTTCTGCCAAGCAATATCCAGTCTGCATTTTAGCAAGTCACTCCTAACAAATGGAAAGGTAAAATACTCTCTCTGTGCTCCCGGAGCAGTTTTTCTGTTGGCACCCTCCCCTGTTTCATGACCCTTCCTCTTCATATATAAGTTGAGAGGGAATAATGAGGCTGTGATTTATCAAAGAGAAATAATCTGCTTGCAGAATATTCATGGCCTCAGTTTCAGACTCGGACCAGTCTCACTCCAGGCTTTAATGCTCTGTAGGAAAATTTCATCACTGGATAGTGCTTTCCTTTTAAGGAGGTTGCCCATTTTTTGTATTCTCTCTCTCCTCTTCCTCTCCAAGTCACCACCGGAGGGCGAGAGAGGCGAGGCAGCTGTCTGGATGGAGGCAATGTTTTAGAAGCTGGAGCCCTGTTCCGTTAAATGTTATATAATGCCCGCAGTGCTGTTTGGAAGACGGGAAAATGCTAAGGAGATTTTCCTACGTGACCTAGAGGAAAGTGGAGTTGCGAAGGCATATCTTTCCAAAGTAATTTTTCACCAGATCTGAGCTCAAAGGTTATCAAGAAGCCATTCCTCTTTTGGCCAGTGGGAGCCCCTTGAAATGTTTCCCCTACCTCTGAGCCCTGCGTCATGTCCTCAGTCTAAACTAGTCTTTCAAAACCTACTCATTTTGCTTTTACTTTTCAAAAATGTCCCTAAAAGACAAAACCTATTTCTGGATTCCCTTTGTTCCTTGGGAGATGATACTTCTTAACCTTGGGGCCTCATTCAATTTTCATTACCTGGCAATAGCAGCGGGCAGCAGCGCTCTTCGTCGGCTCTTACTGAAAGCTTTCCAACCGCCTACTTTTCCATTAAACTTATTTTTAAGTCCGTGAGAGTTGTCTGAACTGGTGTCTTTTATAAGCAGGCACCCAAGGCTTCTGGGTCCTGGTAGCGCAGCAGTGGTTGCTTGAGCATGAGGGAATGTACAAGCTCAGGCCCTGGAAGCGGCTCCCCATTGCCCACACCCCGGGACTATGTTCTGAAGAATGAAGCAGATGAGATCATCAGAAACCGAAAAGGGGGATTTGGGACTGGTTAAGAATCCAGATATATAATACTTTTAATTTGTGATCTCCTCAGGGTGTGTTGAATGCTGAAGGGAAGAATTAACGAGTTTTTGTGCATCCTGAATTTATACAACTTGCAAGTATAGAATATCAAATGTGTGATTTTTTTTTTTGTACTTCAACATATATATTTTGGCTTGTGCACATTTTCTCTGTGAATGTAACATAGTTGTTAGTAATCCGGAGGGGGGAAAAATCAAAGGAAAAACCAGAGGGAACGAGTCTTTAATCTGTCCTGTAGTGCTTATTTTTGTTTTGTTTGCTTGGTTTTGATTTTTTTTTTTTTAGCAAGACAACTAACCCCAGTATTTGATAATAATCTGTCACATGAGCTGAATATAAAAGGTCTATACTGTTTATGGTTTAGTAATCCAAGTTAAATGGTATTTAGTGTCTTAATGTTCTAGTCAGGCAAGTAGAGACGTGTTTGCCTTTTATCACCTAGAATCCGTGCATCCTAGACTTTAACTGGACCTTAACATTTCTCTATCCTGTAGAGAAATGCTCCACTTGGTGGAGGAGGTGGCTTTTCAGTGGGGACATTTTCATCATCCAGTGACAACCACATCAGTAAATGGGTGATGTGTACTTTATTATTAGATATGCTTTAGTTTTGTTTTAATTAGTACACTGTTCTGTCATTTACAGTAAGCAGCCAGTGCTTTGCAAAAAAAAAAAAAAAAGCAAATGGCAATCGCAAAATTCTAATGTAGCAGACAGAAATGCTCACGTGACCCGGCTCTCTGCTCAGTTAGCTCTGTTCATCTGTATGTTGTAGCAAATTTCTTGAAGGACTCTTGATTCTAAGCATCTGAACCAAATTATGGCATTTCTTTACATGTGAAATTTTACTCCACAATGTGAAATAAGAGGAAGGGAAGAGGAGAAATAATTTTTGTAATAGAATATAACTAGAAAAGTAAAATTTTAATTTCAACTTCAATTAGTAGGAAGGATATTTGGCCAGACTTGGAATCAGCGATACTGTTTGTTGTTGAAAGAGCAAGTGTACCAGGCCCAGAGGAAAAGATTTCATAGTCTGCATGTGAAAGGGAATTTTTGTATTCTACTGTAGTGTGAGACTGCCAGTTTCTGTGCAACACAAAGCCCTCCCTTTCTTGGACAGCTCAGTGCTTTGCTGGCATTTTCTTCAAAATCTGTTTCCCATCAGGACCTAGAGGAGGGAAGGTGTTAGGAATAAGGGAGGCTGGAAAGGGGACGCTGCTCCTTTAAATAGTGCGGCGAGCCCATGTGGCAGCCGCTGCCGACTGTATTCTTTTGTAATGAATCACCGGTTCCATTGTCTGCTATCTACCCTCTTTGTAGCTGGGAGGCTGAAGTCTTTCACCTGAGCTGCTGCCAGTTGCTATTCTGTTTAGAGTAGCTGGGAGAAAAAGACAGAGAGTATTTTGTGCTTTAATTAAAGACAGATAAGAGAGCCAGGTATATTTTGCTTTGTTTCATTTTCGCCTGTCTGGTGTGTGGGGTTTTTTGTTTGTTTGTTTTTTGGAAGTGAGTCTGTGATTTCGCTAAGCATACATCCCATATTCTGTGCCTCTTCAAAGTCCTCAGTGATTATTTAGTCTCCATTTTGTGGCATTGCATTAAAGGGATCCCACTAGTTTGCCTGCCAGTTCCACGCGCCCATCCCGCCCTCCATCTGCAGGGCCCCGGCCCACACTGTTTGTGTTGGCAGTTCCACAGGCTGTGCAGAACCCTGGGATATTGGGGTAGGCGGAGACTGTGGGCTGGAGTCTAATTTATGTTCCTTTACAATGAACCAAAAAAGCCTCACTTTTTCCAGAGAGTGTTTCTTTCTGAATTCTTTGACACTGCTCCATGTCTTTCGTTATAACCATTTCTTTGCCAAAGCCAAAATACTGCTGTTTCTCAGAAGATACTCTGAATTCTATAAATGTGCTTAAATCTGGGCAGTTTAGACTTACTGATTTTTCTTGCTCACCAGCCTTCCTCCCCCAAAACACACATTCTGTTTTTGTCTCTGCCCTTTATTTTTGTCCTGCCTCTAGGTAAGAGTTGTGTTTGACAATCTGCTCTTCAAGTTTCTCTTGCCCCAAGGGCAGAATCCAGCCTTGCCTCTGCATGGATGGCCACATGGCAGCAGTTTAATTTCTCATTTGACGTTTAGTGTCCAGAGTTCCTCGCACTTTTACTCTTTTTCACTATTCCTACTGTTACAAGGTACCCCAACGTGCATTGGGTTGCCTGTCTGTGGGTCTTCACCCATGCACTTACGATTCCATTGTATTATGGACACACTCAAAAGGTTAAATAATAGATTTATTTATAAGGAGAAAGATAAAGGAATAACCCAGGGAAAGAGGGAGAGAGACACAGGTTACCTAGGATGTCCCACCAGTTCTGCTGACTTGGACGCCACCGGCACGCCGAAAACCAATGGAGCGCCCAAACAATCAGCTGCGAACCACCAGGTCTCCCCCCAGAGCCCACGTGTCCAGTTGTATCCCAACCTGGCTGCTCAGCTCCGCCCTCACGTCCGTCTCCCCCCCCCTCGCCCCCCCCTGCTTCTCCTTGGTACTGATGGGATTTGGAGTTCCAGCATCTGGAGTGGGGGAGGAGTCCATGACACCTGTACCTGTTACACTACCTCTAGTTGATTCTCACGCATCCACATCTGATACACACTCTGGAGGAGCCCCTCCGGCACCACTGCCCCTTCCGCCGCAGCCTCCTCCTGCCCGCGGTCCTCAGTAGCCCGCCATTCCTGGCATCCCAGCCACCCCTTGCTCACCTTTCTCCACCTTTCTCGTGATCCCTCTATGGTCCCTTCAGCGTTTCAAGACCACTGTCAAATCTTTTAAGCATTTCCTTTTAGCATTTTGTGTATGAAATGCAGCAAACACCAGAACCCCGTTGGCACACCCCGATGCTGTGCACCCTGCAGGTAATGCTTTCCCCAGCATCTCTGGGCTCCAATTCTCCCTCTGCAGTGAGCTGCTCCGTGGGGTCCCACTTCCCAGAGGCTTTGATGTTCCTCTCCTATCATGGGCTCAGTGGAGGAAGCTCTAGTCAGATAATGCAGAGCAAAT